CATCCGCACCGTCGGGGAGGCCAGCAAGAAGCTCCTGGCTGACTCAGTGAGTGTTCCCCTCGGGAATGAGGCCTGTGAGGTGTGAAGAGGATCCAAAGGCAGGCAGGCACTGAAATGGGCGTGCGGGGAGGAGATGCCTGGCGCAACAAGTGGCGTCGCTGGCGACCGAGGACACGACAGCCGTGCTGGAATCAGACCCCGGTTGGTCTCACCCAGCACGCTGACGGCCCCACATCCCAGCAGCAGCAGCAGCATCTCCAGTTAAGAGGATCAGGCAGCCGGGTGGCGGGGGGGGGGGGTTTCTCTCCCACAGCCTAGTATCGGGGACCTAAACGAAACACTCCTCAATGTCTAGCTGCAGAGTTCTCCAGGATGTATTTGCCAAAGGGTGACAGTACAGAAGAATAAGGCCGTGAGCATCACTCTCTGAATTGTAGCCGGCAAGCCAGAGGGAGCGCACCCGTGGAAACTCTTTACCATTTATTGAGATAGAAAAGAGCACAGGCGTGAAAAAGTTAACCCTACAATTAATGTGAAGATAAATGCTAAAATTATCAAAGCATTATTTAATCAGGCTTCAGCTTTTTGTCTCACTGCCTTTTAGGGATTGCCAAAAAGCCCAGCAACATAAATGCAAATAAGCCAATCAGCAGGTGCATGTGAGGTAAATCTGATATCGCAAGATAGGAAGGCCAATCTCAACTCTAAACCTCTATTAAAAAGCAGTAAATCTAACTGTTCTGCAACCCTTTCAACTAACTGTTGAAAATGAAAGTAACTTGAAGCAAACTGGGTTCATTGGCAGTTGAAAAGTGCTGGATGCGATGGTCCTCTGGCCTGTCCTTCCGGGACTCCTCTCGTGTTCCTGCCCGTATCCTCCCTTCTTGAAACCGAGGTGGCGAATGCCTCACGTCGCCATGTTAATGGCCGGCATTTGTGAACTTGGGCAGTTTGGGACATTAGAACAGAGGGTGTTGCGTGGGGGGCTCCCTTTGAGACCCCCTCCTGTTCCCTGGGTGCTGCGTGAAGGGAGGGGATGGGCCAGATCTCGATGCATAGGCAGGGCTGGCTCCGGCTCGTATTTGGATGGGAGATCACCACCGAGAGACACCCAGGCTGCAGTGCCGGGGCTGGCAGGGGCAAGACCACCTCTGAACATCTCCAGCCTCGAAAACCCCAGGAAGGGGGGGGGTAATCGTGAGCTGGCTGCGGATTGGCGGCACCTTCCATCGCCAGTCCAGGGAAGGGGGTGTCCCTGTCCCTTCAGCTGAGCGGCTCCGCCGTCGCTGGAGAAATCATCTGGCCTTGCCCTTGGCGTGTGGGGCCTCTGGCCCTGGTGGGGGGTGGGGGTGGGG